AAGAGTAATTATGCTAATTCAAAATAGATATGCGAACGCATTCTAGTCGTTTATTCTTTCATTGAAAATTGTCTAGTAATGAACATTCACATTCCCTTCACTTATTTTGATACCTCTGTGCATTACTCTTATATGGCTTTTCGTTCTTAAATAATATCAATAGAAATCTTAAATTTTTTCAAAAGCATGGTAGAATTGCAAAAATTACAGTGTCTGAACATAATAAAAGCACTATATTCAAATAACTTCTAAATGTTATAATTGAGTCATTAACAATATGCTGTTTATTGAAGTTTTAATGCTAATAGGTTTTATTGTTCCCATACGACATCCCTTTAATTATACAGTCTGACCTCTCTATAGTCACACCCTCGGGATACTAAAAACTATGACTATATAGAAGTGTGCCTATTATAGAGGTTTTCTCTATATAGTCACATCTATATTAAAATATATTTATGGTGACTATATAGAGAATTATTTATTACAAATAAAGTTACTGTAACCCTATAAAAACTAATGTTCGACAAATGTCCAACTTTTTTGTTCGACATGATTTTTCAACATTCATACAACAAAAGTAGCAATTTTTCATGTGATAAATATTGAACATTTTATTTAATCAAATCGCAGGATCATGTGTAACAAAAAATTCAAAACAAACGTTTGTTTTTGAAACTGTCTCTGATGTTCTAACAAAAAAGATTCCTTGTGAATTTTACTATATCGATATAGTTTAACACACAATATAATATAACGATAACCTTAACTATATTTTGTAATTTGATTACGTAGTTACTTCTAAAAGTCACATGTTTGCAAATTTATGGTTACAGAAGTCGAACGTTTATGTTCACCAACATTTGTCACATGAAAAATTACTATTTTTATTGAATGATTGTTGAAAAATAATGTCGAACAAAACAAGTTGAACATTTGTCAAACATTTTTTTTATAGGGTAACATTGAATTTTTTCTCCATATCACCATCTTTCCCAATTTGCATATGCCACCTGTTCCTAAAAAACATGTTGTCGCATTAGTGACAAACAAAAAAAAGAAATATGTGAGTTAGCTAAAAAAATACATTCTATAAACAGCAAGAAATAGCAAGCGAGTTTATGGAATGGTATCCAGACCTGAAAATAGATCGTTTAACTGTATCAAAAATTTAAAAAATGCTAATAAGTATCAATTTCGTGATGATATACATGCTGAAAAAACTTTTCATCATCATTCTGTGAAGTATCCAATGTTGAAACGTGCTATAAATATGTGGATAAACCAGATCACAACTGAAGGAATGATTATATCAGATTCAATAGTAAAAGAAAAAAGTTGTCAATTTGTACAAGCGTTTGTGATACCAGATGATTCGATTACATTTTCAAACAGATGGGCTACTAAATTTAAGCAATGTAATGAATTAAAAAAATTATAATGCATGGTGAAGCAGCAAGTGCACCATTAGAAAACTTACCTGAAGAACAGAAAAAATCACAAGAACTTCTTTCTAATTATAACCCAGAAAATATATATAACGCTGATGAAACAGGTTTATTCTATCAATTACTTCTAAATCAAACACTTTCTACAAAACTGATGGCTGGAAAAAAAAGGTAAGTTAAAAAAAAATTAATAATTTAAAAAAAATTAATTAATAATTAAATTTTTTAGGAAAAAGTAAGAGTAACTGTATTACTTTGCTCAAATTCAATTGGCTCTCACAAACTTCATCCATTAGTTATTGGTACTTCTAAAAAGTCACAATATTTTAATGGAATAAATATTTTTCAATTACCAGTAATATATAAAAATAACAAAAAAGTGTGGATGAGAAGTGATATTTGGAAATAATGGTTACATTATATAGATAATGATTTTCATATTCAAGGTAGGAAGATTTTGCTTCTTGTTGATAATGCAGCTTCTTGTATAATGCTAGAAAATTCAAGTAAAGTACAGGATAATAATACTGTTACAAGTTTGTTCACTAATCATTAAATTAGCTTACAATGAGAACCTAGATTGGAAGAGGGTATAAACTGATAAAGAAATTTTTAAGAGAGAAAAAAATATCTAAGTCCTATGCCAATTTCTATGAAAATTGTATTTACTTAAAAAGAAATAATAATGTGGGAGAGTTATAGGAGAGTAAAGATCAAAGGGGAGAGAGAATAAAGAAATAATAAAAGAATTTGAAAGAGTGATTCTATACTTGCATAAGACTTTTAAAGTAATATAATTAGTAATAACAATAACAAAAATTCTTTCACTTTGTTCTTCTCATGAATAAGAAATATTCATTAATAATTAAAAATTAAAATAATAAAAAGTAAAAATACTTATAAATTCAATTTCAATAATTCCAATATAATGATTTGTTTAGTATAATACGATATAAAGCTCAATAATCCAATAACAGCAATTTGTTCAGCATAATATAATATAAAACCCAAAGTCAATAACAGCAATTTGCTCAGTGTAATATGATATAAAGTCATCAGTAATTTGATAGGTTCAATATGATATAAGATCACTTATACACAAGATTTGAAAAGTATAAAGAAAATATGAGAGGCAGAAAGTATTTGGAGGAAGATTTTTTGTTAAGAGAGATTTTTATTTCAGTTACAACATGTCAAGTTAAGACTCAGATAGCACCTCTATTTATACTTTTTTCAAAATTACAAAAAGTAAAATAAATAATTATAAAAATATATAAAAGTGAAATAACTAGTTATAAAAGTAAAAAGTAAAATTTTGAAAAAGTGAAAAATAAAAAGTGAAAAATTAAAAAGTGAAATAACTAAAAGTGAAAATATATATAAAGTGAAAAATAAAAAGTGAAAAATTGAAAAAGTGAAATAATAAGTGAAAAAATAAAAAGTGAAATAATAAAAATGAAATAATATATATAAAAAAGTGAAAATAAAAAGTGAAATAAAAAAGTGAAAATAAAAGTGAAAAATAAAAGTGAAAAATCGAAAAAGTGAAATAATATATAAAGTGAAAAATAAAAAGTGAAATTTCTAAAAAGTGAAAAATAAAGTGAAATTTCTGAAAAGTGAAAAATAAAAAGTAAAAAATAAAAAGTAAATAATAAAAAGTAAAATAATACTAGAGAATTTTATTGTTATATGAATATTTTTGGATTTTTATGTTTTTCAATTATTTTTGAATTTATGATTTTATGTTACTATTATAATATTTGTTCCTTCTTCAAAAATTTTGCTCCACAAAATCAATTTTGAACTTGATTTTTATATTCGATAATTTTCTTTTTACTTAATTGATGTATCTGAGAAGATGTCAATTTTAAGATAGTTCATGATAAAAGTTCTTTAGTTCCAAATATTTCGAAGATTTTTTTGCAATATGAAATGGTCATTTGCAAAATTTAAATCTTTTGGTAAATAGATTTCTTCAATTGTTGTAACCGTTTTCAATATTTTGGTGGTCAGTTATGAAGCATTTCTCCAATTTCAAAATAGTTTTCTAATTTTTGTTTTTCATCTTTTCTTTAATAATATATTTTTCTTAGAGCTTTTTTTAGTTTTGCCTTCTAAATTTCATCAATTAATTCAGATTGATGTTCTTGTTCTTCGATGATTTGTGTTATTAGTATTAGATTTATAAATTCAACTAGTTCTATTATCTCTATTATTCCAATAATTGGTCCAGAAGGAATTATGATTTCTTCATAGGGAGTTGATTCATTAAAGTCTTTAAAAAATTCTAAACAGTCAAATACTTCAGATAAAGATATAGATAGTTATGATTCAAAAGTAATAATATCGTCAGAGAGAAAATTATTAAGAAATTCTGAATATTAATTAAGTTTTTGAGTTGTTATATAATGTTGTGTCCATTATTATTTTTGATTATAACTCTATAAGTTGAGAAAAAGATTACTTTATTTGGCTGATATAAGAATAAATCTTCTAGCATTTTGGTAAAACATTCTTTCATATGTGGTGAAATCCATCCAAGTAAAGACATTGTGAAAATAAAGAAATTAAAAAGGAAAGTTTTTAAAAGAATATAAATAATTTTGAAGGTGATAATTTAAAAAGAGAAGTTCAGAAAAAGGTATTCTATTTATAGTGTTTTCAAAGAGGAAATAATATTATGATAAGGATAATGATAAGGGATCTATATATTTTATTACTACTTCTGATTCAAATAAAGTTGATCGTTCATGGAATCATCAGAAAATTCAGGAGATAACAGATCTATAACAATCTGCAAATATGCAAATTGTTGCAGTTTTTTTTGATCAAATTAACAAAAATCTGCAAAGAACTATGAAAATGCAGATTTTGATCAAAAAAAGCTGCAATGATCTGCATATTTACAGATCACTGCAGGTTTGTTTATTTATTGTTGTGATCAATAAACAATAAATACACAACACGTGCTAATTTTTAAATTTTACAAAACTTCTTTGAA